CCTCCTTACACACGCTCAAGAATAGCTGACACCTTAAAGTGTTTCCCATCAGCTAGGCTAAGTGCTGAGTACTTTGTATGTCATCTCATTTAAACCTCACACAACTCTCCAAAGGAGGTACGGTTGATACCCCCTTTACAGGTAATGGACAGGAGGCTCAGCCTGATTATGGAACCGACCCCAAATGACTTACTAGCTTCAGACAAGTAAGGAGTGGAGGTAGGGCTCTAAAGCCTGTGTTTTTAACTCATTATCAGGAGCCCTGGTGGGTTATGTGTTGGCCTGCTAACCACAGATCAGAAGTTCAAAACTACCATCTGTATAGAACTGTGTGAGAGAGGAGCCTCTCTGCTCTCCTGAAGAATGACAGTTTCAGAAACCCACAGAGGCAGGGCTGTGAGTCAGCATCAGCTCAAGGACAGTGCGTTTGGTTTTGGGTTTGGTGCTACCTTCTCATTTCCTGTTTGATTTCTTAAGGAGACTTTGAGTAGCTGCTTTAACTTATTCATGGCTTGCTGCACATACTTATCTGATAGATACCTGAGACTGAAAGGTTTCTGGGTCAGGACTTTATTGTACTAAATTGAATCCTACCATCCTTAGGATATCTTGGCTCAGCATGTAGCCATTCCTGTGGGATAAAGTGGAAGAAGCAGTTGTCTCCCAAATGGAAGACTGGCATTTAAAAAACATGCTCACAAAATGGATATAATTATAAGGGAATGAAGAGGTACAAGAAATAATTCTGTACACAATTGATTTTGTCTGCCAGCATGTGAAAGCCATGCTTACATCGAGTAGCCTTCTGTAGATAGACATGTCTGTAAGACAGCCAGACTACAGTCTGCTTCAGTTGGTTGGTCCTGAGTCTTGGAGACAAAAATTCTTGGAGACAATATTGGAGACAATAACTGATACCAGTCCAGAGTTGAATCCAGTAATTCCCTTACTTCATTCTCATTCCTGGTTTCTCAACTAGGAATTCTACGACACACTTTCCCCTAATCTCTCCCACTTTTTACTGTTTTTTTTCCTTCTACTTTAAAGAAATAGAGATTTCTATAATTAATCACAATGTTCAATATGATTGCAAAAAATTATATACTAGATAATGCTGGGGGAAATATCATTATGACCAAAGAAATTTCCCCCAGGTTTTACTAGTTGTTTCCTAGAATACCTAAAGGAAAGTTTTCTCTTTCTACCCCCGCATTTGGGTTGTTGGCATACATGCACACACATGCACACACTTGTGCTCACACACGTATGTGTTCACATCCATCAAAGTTCAAGTTATCTGCAGGTATTGTTTGCATAATCCCCACTAAAGGTTTTTGAATGACAAGGGGCTCTGGGGGTTATTTCAGTCTGTAGGCATACTTCAGAGATATTGCAGATTTGGTTCCAGACCACAGCACTCAAGCAAATGTTGTAGTAAAGCCAATCGCATGCAAATATTTTGACTTTTCAGTGCATATAAAAGTTATGTTTACACTATACTGCAGTCTATTAGGTGTGCAATAGTACCACGAAAAATCCTGAAATATTGTGAGAACGACCAAAATGTGACACAAGGACAAGATGTTGGAAAAATGGCAACAAAAGACTTGCTTGATACAGGGTGACCACACACCTTCAAGTTATAAAAATGCAATTATCTGTAAAGTACAATGAAATGAGGTAGGCCTGTACTATAAAACAGGGCGCTTCACAAGGGTGCAATTAAGGTCTGGTTTAGCAGGGTCATATGTTCACTGGTTGTTTTGCATTGTTACTGAAATAAGGATGTGGAATTTTTAGTACCTGGAAGGAGTTCATGGGGAGGGAGATTGAGAGGTAGTAGAAAAAAAAAATATATATATATATAGAGAGAGAGGCTTAAGATTCACATTGAACTTGCACTCCAATTTTAGCTCTCTACTTACTAGCTGCTTAATGCTACGCAAAATTACTTACTGTTTCTGAACTACTTTTCACCTCTGCAATCATCATCATCAGAATCATCCCCATCTTTCAGGATTGTTGGTAGGATCAAGGGTACAATGAATATAAAGTACTTGAGTTATATTGTGAATGGCACAGAGAAACTATAAATATTAGTTCTTTCCCCCATTCAGTATATCACACATAGTTAGAATGCAATAGTATTTGTTACATTAGGATGGCGAGTAAGCTTGTACAATTGATTCAACCCTCTGCTGAGCTAGAGTTCTTAAACAATAGCTTCAATAGACTCATATGCTTTAATAGTCATATGAATGTACCCAGGGACACATTGATCAGCTATCTGCTCACATCTACATGTGTAATGACAAATACATCGATATTTTATATACTGTTTAAAAAAATCACTTTATTAGGGGATTTTATATACTCTTATACACACCAGAAATGTGTGTGTCATTGTGTCCTTAGTTGGTAGCACCTGTAGTATAATTTGGCCCCAAGAATACACAGAGTGTGTTTTGGATTCATGAAGACCTGGGCTCACATTCTAGCTCACTACTTAAGTGATCATGGGTAAGTGACAGAAGCTTTCTTTATGGCTTCCTTATCGGTAAAAATGAAGTCAATAATAATAGTACCTACCTCACAGGATTGTTGGGAGGGTTAAATAATACAACGTTTAGAAGAGGGCTTATTATTGGATTTGTCACTGCCTGGAAACTTTTCTATTACTATTAAACCTGGTTGATATCTGTTGTTCTCCCTACAGCCTTCTTGATCCTAATTTACAGGCTCAAGGGATATATAATTGGGATGTAAGAAGGTATCTCAAGGGAGGTGATACATGAGCTGAATGTAGAAGGATATTAGCTAAGTCAGAAAGCATTTCAGACAGAAGGGTACCGTACTGTGCCTGGGGAAGCAGCATGTTAATTTTACAGAACAATGAGTAACAGTTCAAGTGGGAACATCCTAAACAAGGTTCGATGTGTATGCAGGAGTTTTGCTTGGATTGTATTGGGAGGACTTTGGGGAGCTATGAAAGACTTTTAAGCTGAAAAATGACACAATCAGTTTTTAGAAACTGCATTTAGAACATCTAAACTATTCACTTTGGTACAGATAATGGGACATTCTAGTTCAAAAGTAATTACCTTATCTAGATGAGAAACAAACTATGAAGTGCAAATGAAGGCAGAGGCAATGGGGATGAGGGGGACAAATCAGAGAAATGCTCAGGAATTAAATTTACAGGAAATACAATATCTGCAGTTGTTCAAATGAAAGGAAGAATGATGGAATGAGTCCTTAAGGAAACTTTTCTATTAATATAGCAAGGATGGTACTTAGCGGGAGTACTGAGAAATTATATGTACAACCCACTGAAATAGATGGCTTGTCTTACTGATCACAACCAGTTTATTTTCTAGTTTACTGCAACTTCCAATGACTGATTCAAAGAATACTTCAACTTATCAATCTAACATAACACCTGTGTATCTCGGTTGAAGAACAAAAATCTTTTACAACGGCACTTTAGTGAACCTCTGGTTCTTGAATAAAACTGACTCACAGCAACCCCAGAGGTCAGGGAGGAACTGCCCAGTGGGGTTCTGGAGACTAACTTTTTAGGGGAGTAGCATGTGTCATTGGCAGTTACTCCATGGCAGTGGGTTTTTGTTTTGTTTTTCATTTTTGAGTTTTTGCAACGTACTGAAAGGCCTCCCTCCCCCCTTTCCTTTTATAAAGTCTTTTACCACAAAAATTTTAAAACTTAAGCTCTGCATAGAACCCTCTAGTTGTTGCTCCCCCCCCCAAAAAAAAAACCAACCTCATCTCTCAACCTACTAGAAAAGTATTTTTTAAAGTTTCTAGAAACTTTTCAAGAATTGGACTCTTTCCTATGCCTCATGAGCATTTAGGATGGTTTTAGACCTGTATTTTTAAATCTTACTACAGCTCTATAAATTACTATACACTAGTCGAATCTCAAAAACTCAATTACATACTGATAATGCTGCCCAGCTGGTCTCAGAATTCAGTTTTTAAGTCAGTTGCTGATATGCAATATGCTACACTTCAGGCACACTCATTCGCAGGGTTGGGAGGAGCGGGTGTTTTGGGTGCGGGACCAAAGGGAAGAGGAGGAGGAGTGCACACAAGCACTTCTTTTCCAGCTTTCCTAGGGTAAATGGAGGCACCCGATGCCCGCGTGGCACGAGAGGGCTAGCAGAGGGGCGAAGGCGGGTCGGACAGAGGATCCGACTGCTGGGGCGACTCCGCCCCGCGCGAGCATCTGCGCGCTCCCGAGAGGGCACGCGCACGTAGGCGTGCTTAACGCAGGGTCGGGCCTGTCAGGCGGTAAATCTCGCGAGATCAGAGACTGGGGTGACTGTCGGGAGGAGGGGAGTGGTGTCGGGCAAGGGGGGGGGAACCTGAGCAGCGACCGGGCTCTGTGGCTTCAGGGCTCGTACTGAGAGAGCTAGAGAGGGAGGGAGGGAGGGTGGCAAGGAGAGTGAGTCGGCGCCGGCGTCTGCCTGAGGAGAGAGGAGGGGTCCCGTTGACTGCGCTCTTGGCTGGCCGAGAGCGCGAAGCACCCTAGAACCTCTGAGGCCTCCGGGCCCCTGGGGACCCCGCCCCGCCGGCCGGCCCGCCCGAGGCCTCTCTTCCCTTTGTGAGCGTCCCCTTCCCAGGGGTGGGGGTGGCGAAGGTCGGTGCGTGGGCCCGCCCGCCCGCCGAGGGCCCGCGGCGGGGGACTGAGAGGGCCTCGGCTGTGTGAGGACCCGAGGCGGCCGAGGCCCGGGCCGGTTCCCCTGAGGCGGCGGTAGCCGCGGCTCCCGGCTTTTCCCCGCGCCATCTTAACTGAGCCCAAGTGCTGAGGGCGCCTCCTCGACCCAGGTCGTCCCCTCGCCCCCCTCCCCCGGCCCCAGGGCCCCCTGTCGCAGAGCTCGGGCTGAGCGGCTCGCCGAGGCTCGGGGGGCGGGGGGGGACGGTCTGTCGCCGGGCCCCCTCCTCCTCCGCACTCCTCGGCCTCCGGCGTAGCGGTTGCCGGAGCACCGCAGGGGGCTGTGGCTGCCCACCCCGGCGGAGACCTGTCGGCCAAAGGGTAAGGGCACCTCTGTGCGGAGTCAGGGCGACACGGGGCGGGGCGAGGCGACTTGGCCCACTCCGGCCTCTGCGTGGAAGAGGGCGGTGGAGGTGGGGTGGGGGAGGGCGACGAGGAGGGTCGGGGCGGGGGGAGAGGGGCCGGTGAGCGCGGCACCCTCCCGCTTTGAGGGGCCAGAGCGATTACGTTCCTCTTTCCCGGGGGTCACCGGAAACCGGGGTGGTGGAAAGGGGATGTCTCGAGGAAGGTGTGGCCCGCGAAGGGAGACTGGGTTGATGTGCACCCCCGACTTAGAGGCTTGAGGACCCTTTCCCTTCTGTCGACCCTTTGCTCCTCCCAGCCGTTTCCCTCGTCGTGTCTGGTGAGCCTGGCCGAGGAGCTAGCTGCTCGATCCCACCCTCGTCCCCTCCCCAACCCTTCCCCCTCCCCGTCTCAGGAAGTCTGGTCGCGGCCCCTCTTACTTAGGGTGATGGAAGCCTTTCTCTCCCCCTCTCGTTGCCCTCCCCATGCTGGAGTCTGCTGCGGTGCTGCAGGAGTCCGAGCCTGTTTGTTCGGACCCGGAGTGTGTCTGTGCTTGGGGGACGGGCTGGGGGGGTGGGGGACACGGGACCAGAGAGGGAAGTAATGGCGCTTCCCGGGAGAGATTCATCTTCTTGCACTGGATTTTAAAATCGGTAACAGTACCGGGTTAGTGCCCTTCCCCTAAGAGCCGTCATTGTGAAAGGATATATTCTTCTTGTTTTTGTTGAGGGATCTGGCCTCTCGAGAGGGACCCCTTGCTATGTTAGAACAGTTTTGATGTCTCTCAATACTGGTTTGACATGTGTGAGTGTGCGCGCGCACGCGCGGGTGCATGTGCAGGTTGGGATTCAAACGAAGTGGTTTTGTTTCCTCTTAGCCTACCCCCTCCCTTTCTTCCTGTGACTTTGTAGTTCTTGAAGAATTGTTAAAAATTACCTCACCTGATACACATTTCTGATAGGCTGTCTGATGGGCATTTTGTGAACCTTGAGTTTTTAGCGTTAATACTGTCTGTATAATATGGATATTGGAATTTTCTGAGAATATGAGGATGCAAACCTTTCTATAGCAAATACAGAATAATGGTCAATAAGTCATTTTTTAAACTTATTTAGCTTCATGCCATATTTGTTGAGAAAGCATCTTATCTGACTTACAGTAGAACTTGTTGGTTTGTGCTTAGCAGAGTGGAAATGAATAATTTAAGTATTCTGGAAGTGTTGTCCTGCCAAGTGCTTTTTGCAACCCAAAAGCACTCTTGAAGTTTAGTGTTGATACTTTTCATTTCTCAACTATTAGGCTTAAGAACTGATTGCAAAATGATCTATATGTGAATATTAAGTGAATTAACATTTTTCACTAGTGAAGATGACTAAAAATATGTACAGATATGAGTTGTCCTGCTAATTTACTAAAAAGTTATACTTGGTAGTTTAGCTTTTCTAAATGGTGATATTATAAAATACATTGCATCTAGATTTTATGCTATCAAATTCTGTCCATCAGAGCTTTTTGGTGTGTTTGTTAAATTTTGAAATAAGGGATTTCAGGATGTTGTTAGTATTGTTAGTCACTAGATTAGTTTCATTCATGTACTAATCTTGATATATAGGGTGTTATAATTTTATTTTTCTCAGGAAATGTACTTTTCTTTATTCTGTTTTGGTGTTTATCAGTTTAACTTAAATAGCAGTGCTCATGTGAGTATTTTCATGACACAAAGCTGTATGTTATGGTCTGTAGGGTTTTCTCTGATCTGGCAAATTATGCCACAAAATCTAATTGCCTATACAAGAGGGTTCCAAAAATTTGTGGAAACATTCCATGATCTTTTTTGCATTCGCTTTTTGAGGCCCCCTTGCATGAGGGGTTTAAATTTGTTGCCAATAATTTGTTGTTTACAATTCATATATACATAATAAGATGAATAGCTAAGCATATTGCTGAGTGAAGGGTGACTTTGCTTTTATCCTGGAAAGCTATAGGCAGAGAGGATTTATTAAATGATCTACAAAACTTAAGAATGGTACATAAGGGTATAGGTAAACAACTTGCCATATTCGGCTTGTTAGAATTAAGGGTTCTTTTTAGAAGAACTAAAAAGAAATCTTTTTTTCCCCATAGCTGGTAGGATTGTGTCTGCAAGTGGTGTAAGTATATTCATGATCACTTAAATAAATTCATTATTGAGGAAAAGCTGCTTGAGGGCTATTTCAGCTGACCTCTGATGCCACTGATGCAGAATACTGAGAGCATGAGTCTGGTTGACTCCAGATTAGGATAGCCCTTCTTATATTTCTAAGTATTCATCTACAAAATGGCAGTGTGCATCACTTCCAGTAGCCCTTCTTATATTTCTAACTATTCATCTACAAAATGGCAGTGTGCATCACTTCCTGTTCTTTCACAACTGGCTCTTTCTCTGGATTCCCTTTTAATGACTTAATTTTTGGCATTTTGTTATCTGATTTGTTAATTTGGTATAATTCGCATGCTTTATAAATGGGAGAATTTGTAAGAATCAGCTAGTTTTTAAAGGCTTTGAATAGTTTAAGAAGAATTAAAAAAAAATCATTTTATTGGGGTCTTGTACAGCTCTTATCACAATCCATACATATATCCATATGTCAAGTACATTTGTTGCCATCATCATTTTCAAAACATTTTCTTTCTACTTGAGCCCTTGTGATCAGCTCCTCATTTCCCCCCCCTCCTTTAAGATGATCTTGACAGTAATTAAATATTGTCTTCATACTAAGGATAGTTTATCAAATGTAAACTTTGAAAAGTTTTAAAGAAATACAGCAGTAGAAATGATAAAAGCATGAGTAAATTTACTCAAAGATTATTACATTTTTATAATATAGAGAAACTGGATATGGCCATTAAGATGACCTGGGGTAAGCATTGGACTACTAATACTAACCTCATGGTCAGCTGTTCAAATCTGCCAACCACTCTGAGGAAGAAGGGTGAGACTATCAGCTCCTGTAAATATTTACAGCTTCAGAAACCCTAGATACCGTTGTTATGAGTAGGAATTGACTCATTGGCAGTGGGTTTGATGTTTTGGTTTTGGATATGGCTGTTAATTTAAGTTTAATTTCACTAAAGTACTTGATGAATTTAAAAAATTTGGAAGGAGAAAAAACGATTATTTTTAATTGGGATGACTCTGTCAACATATGATAAAAATGATTTTCATATCAATCTCTTCCATTTTTGTCAGAAGCAGATTTGTTGTTTGAAATGCAATCTGAGGTTGTATCTTTTAACTAGTAACAACATTAAGTGGCCCATAAAAGGTGGAAAAGTGCTCTCACCAACCCCGCAAAAGAAAACCCTGACATGGAACTAAAATACAGACTACCAAGTACCTTATGTAATAGATAATACCAGTATCAGTTGCCTTTGAGTTGATTCCAACTCGTGGTGACCCCATGTGTGTCAGGGTACATCTGTGTTCATAGTTTTCAGTAGCTCAATTTTGGGAAATAGGTCACCGGGCCTTTCTTTCCAGGTACTTTTGGATAGACTTAAACTGCCAGCCTTTTGGTTAACATCTGTGTATGTTAACCTTTTGCATTGCATAGGAGTCCATAGTTGATATACAGCATTCCAAAAAATGCCAATGTGAGAGATCTCTTACGTTATTTATTTAAGCTTAACTGCACATAATTTGCCTCTAATTTATCATTATTTATTGAACATTTTGTTGTGGTTTGGATAAACGTTTATAGAGCACATTAATTTCTAACAACATTTATGCACGTTCTGTCTCATGACATTATCCCCTCAACATAACAGCATACTTACTGCTCCGTTTCCATTTGACCTGCCCTTCCTATGTTTCTAACTTTGTTTTTGAGTAAATGCTGCTGTTTTTGTTTCACTTAGATTATTCTGAGGGGCATATTCCTCAGGAGTGTTACTGTTCACTTTGTAAGCCTGTCTGTTGTGCTGAAAGGTGATTCTGGGAGTGAGTTCAGTTTCAAGCTTGAAGGGCCTTAGTCTTTTTTTGTGTGCTTCTTTTTTAAAAATCATTTTGTTAGGGCCTCATACAACTCTTATCACAATCCATACATTCATCAATTGTGTAAAGCACATTGCTACATTCATTGACCTCATCATTCTCAAAACTTTGCTCTCCACTTAAGGCCCTGGCTTCAGGTCCTCGTTTTTCCCCCTCCCTCTCTGTTCCCCCTCCCTCATGAGGCCTTGATAATTTATAAATTATTATTTTGTCATCTCTTGCAATTTCATTCTTTTAATTCCATTTTTCTGTGTATTTTCTGAAGCCCATTCCTTCATACATGCTTATTCTCCCTCTCTCTGTCTGTCTGTCTCTCTCTCTCACACACACACACACACACACACACACAAAACAGCAAAAACCAGGTATACAGAACTCCCATACCCATCTCATACCTACTCAGCTTGCATATCTACTTATATTTCCACTCATATATTACTGTTTTATTATTGTTGTTATTACGAGATTGTGTATGTAATAGTATTTACTCTGTGTACCCCCTGGTGCCTTATTTTGCCTTACTCATGTTACGCTGATCTCCCCATTATATATTGCCTTTCATCCAAGTTAATACACGTCTACTCTCTAATTTTTATTTATTTATATAATAATTTTATTGGGGGCTCTTACAAATCTTATAACAATCCATCATTCAATCATATTAAGCACACTTATACATACGTTGCCATCAACATTTCCGAAACATTTTCTTTCTACTTGAGCCCTTGGCATCAGCTCCTCCCCACCTTCGTGAATCCTTGAACAATTATATATTATTATTTTGTGTCTTATACTGTCCATTGTCTCCCTTCACCCACATTTCTGTTATTTGTCTCCCTTGAGGGGGGTGTCTACTCCCTAATTGATTACTCCTTTCTCTCTTCCAATTCCTGGTAACCATCAAAGAATGCTGCTTTCTGTGTGTAAACCTCTTAATTTTTTTAGT